TTAATAAAAACTAAACTAAACTAAACTAAAAACTGTAGTTATTTTTTTAGCGTCTATTTTATTTATTGCTGCACGGCATGTCATATCTTGGATTTACATATTTCAAAGGGTGTTTGTAAACTTTGCTTGTACAATTAGCTTTGACTTTAAGCTTGCTCTATGTTTGAATGCCATAGTGACAGAGTTCATTAATATCAGTTTAAAAAAAAAGAGTAACAGGGATTAGTGAAGAAACAAAACCGAGTCATTATTAAGATTCTTTTTCCTTGGATTAAAAACGGCCCTTCCGATACAGCTTTGGTCAATCCCCCCCCTCCCCCGCAAAAAGGAGGGAAGGATGTTGCTGTCTTTTTGAAAAACAAGCCCAGTTCTGTGTCAACAAAGAAGAATAAATGTTAACTTTACTTGTCAGCATCGCTTAATATTCTACGTTCTGGAGCAGGAAAGTACAATTGTTAAAACTTATTAATGACTGCGGTGGCTTTGTTTAAATAAACCTTTCCTGGTTGGGAGTTTGTGTTTCAGAGCTTTGCTCAAACTCCAGGCCAAAAAAATAATAAAAATAAATGATCTGGCTTGAAGCTCGTTTCAAAAATTCAACCCCTGAGGTCAAAGGGACTCAACCAATGCTTGTTTAAGGACCGTTCAAAACTTCCAAAAGTCCTGAAAGAAATGACTCGCTGTTGGACCCCAGGCTAACAAATATTCCTGCAGTCCCATCATCAAAATTCAGGTGTTAAAGGTAACCAAAGGTAGCTAAGACGGTGAGCTTGTCGATCAGAAAGGTTGGCAGTTCGGCGCTTCAAATCCCAAATGCCGCGTAACGGAGTGAGCTCCTGTTACTTGTCCCAGCTTCTGCCAATCTAGCAATTCGAAAGCATGCAGAAAAATAGGAACCACCTTCCGCCCTGAGTCCCCTCAGGGAAAAGGGCGGCCTATAAATTTTAATAAATGACTAAATGACTAAATGGTGGGAAGGGAACAGTGTTCCATGCGCCTTTGGGAGTTGAGTCATGCTGGCCACATGACCACGGAGACGTCTTCGGACAGCGCTGGCTCTTCAGCTTTGAAACAAAGATGAGCACCGCCCCCTAGAGTCGGGAACGACTAACACATATGTGCGAGGGGAACCCTTATCTTTACCTAAAGTAACCAGCATGTATTCACCACGGCTGCCATGTCCCGGGGTCGTGTGATCATGGTTTGCCATTGTTCCCCAGCCCGTTTCCAACAAGCACAGTCAATGGGAGAAGCCAGATTCCCTTAACGTCCTCATGAGTCACTGAACGACTGCACTGATTTGCTTAACGACCACGGCCAAAAAGATTGCCAAATTGGTGGCGGCTCACGAAACAACTGTCTTTGCGTAGCAACGGACATCCTGGGCCCAATTACGGTCGTAAATAGAGCACTAGTCATACATCGAGGAAAAATGGCTGGGGTGAAGCAGGAGGGAGTCGTAGTTGGTCATCTGTTGTGTTGCACAAAGCAGCAACACAACCAGGACTCTGTTCTAACGTTCCTCCCACTTTCCTTCTATCTTCCCCCACCAGCACCTTCCCTCTCCTGACGAGGAGGAGGAACCTTGTGCTGGGGACAACCTGTCCAGGCCAGGTAACTTACCTGGAATCAGTCCCCCAGTGCATGGCATAAATTTTGGCCAAGTGTCCTCGCAGTGTTCTTCTAGTGCGCATCTGAATACGACCCACGGGATCAATGTTGGCTGTGATCTGGAAAAAAAGAATTGCATATAACCTGTCAAACGCTACTACACAAAGGTGTCTGTGTGTGAGAGACACACACAGAGAAAGAGAGACAGAGAGAAAGACAGAGAGACAGAGAGAGAGAAAGAGAGAGAGAGAAAGAGAAAGAGACAGAGCGGGGAGGGGAGGGAGGCAGGAAAGAAGGGGAGAAAAAGAGAGATGAAGGTGGGAGAAGGAGAGAGACAGGAAGAGAACGAGGGAGAAAGAGAGAGATGAAGGAAAGAGGGAGAAAGGGAAGGAAGGAAGATAATACAAATAGGGTTATATGCCTGCCAGGGTCTTTATTATTGCAAACTACTAAAGGCCCAGAGGGACTCGTTAAAACCCGAAGGTGTCACACACAAAAAGGTTTGGCTGCCCAACACAAACAGACTTTCTAAGAAAAGTGCTTGTAAAAAAGGAAATGGTTTTCCTCGTCATGTGGCTAAGTAAACACCACAAGGGCGACAACACAAGTCTGCATATCTGCACTGCCTCCACGCCACACCAACTATTTCGCTCCCTAACCCAGAAAACAGAATTTTCCCCCTTTCTCCCCCCTCCCACATTTAAAACTATTATCGTCACAAATAGTTTTAGCATTTGTTACACTTAAAGCGAGCTTAGCACTGCTTTTTGAAGCCAAGATTCCCAGATAAATGATCATTTGTGGCTAACTCTTGGTCTGTAAGCCTTCTAAATCTAGTTTGAAGGCGGCAAACCTCTCCAGTGGCAGCTCCCCAAGAGGACACCGGATCAAATAGCCACTTAAGCCATCATTAAGAAAATAAAACGAGGGCCTTTTTTGGGGGGTGGGTGGGTCAAGGAGAAAAGTGTTATGGAAGTGAAGAGCAACAAAAGGATGATGGAGAAATATTGAAGTGCCCAAATTAGAGGAATGGATTGCTGATTATGGCAGAACAGGACAGAAAGGTCAAATGTCATCTGTTTGCTTGGGGGAGGGGGAACCCATACAGGTAGTCCTTGACTTAAAACTGTTCGTTTAGTGACTCTTCGAAGTGACAAGGGGAATGAAAAGGTAACTCAGGACTGGGTTTTTTGACTGTCACAACATCCCCAGCGTCATGTGATCAAAATTCAGCTTGCTTGGCAACTGGCATGTACTTATGAATACAAGAGAATAAAATAGGAGAATATAGAATATAAAATAGAATAAAATAAAATAACATAGGGAATAACATAGAATATAGAATAGAATATAGAACAATATAGAATATAGAATAGAATATAGAATATAGAATAAAATAAAATATAATACAGAATAATATAGTAGAATATAGAACAATATAGAATATAGAATAATATAGAATAGAATATAGAATAATATAGAATATAGAATAAAATAAAAAATAGAATATAGAATAATATAGAAAATAGAATAGAATATAGAAAATAGAATAGAATATAGAATATAGAATAGAATATAGAATAATATAGAACATAGAATAGAATAAAATAAAATAGAGAATATAGAAAATAAAATAGAATAGAGAATAATATAGAATATAGAATAGAATAAAATAGAGAATAATATAGAAAATAGAATAGAAATAACAGAGCTGGAAGGGACCTATGGAGGTCTTCTAGTCCAACCCCCTGCTTAGGCAGAAAACCCCACACCACTTCAGAAATTTTGAGCTCCATTGAGGTCGTAAATCAAGGAGCAACTGTATGCCATTTTTATGGGACACAAAATGCTGTGATTAAATTTCACATACACACACACACACAGAGCGCGCAGGCCTTACCTGGGCCAAAGTAGCGTCAGCACAGGCTTTCCTAGCATCCTGCAGGAAAGAAGAAAAGAATGGGTGAATGCTTGCATAGGAGTAATAGCCAAATGAATTGGGGGGGGGGGAACCCACATTTTTTCCCCTGCTTCTGTTTTACAATGACTGTTCACTGTCCTAGGGCTGCGTCCTGATAGGGAAACGGCACACGTCAATACCTCTCGGAGGAGGGAAGCCCTTCTCTATTTACCGGAAGCTTATAATCTGGCTAAGAATTCAGAAAGCCTATTAAGAGCCAGCCGCATCTCCCTCGATCAAATGGCAAAAAAAAAAAAAAAAAAGGGACAAAAAAGAAAGGGTGATTAGGATGAAGGGGAGGGCGGGTGGCAAAAGGTTTTCAGACAAGCTAAGCCGGATAATCTCTTTTATGAAACCCCTTTCCACTGGGCATCGCAAGCGGCATCAATTCTGCTCAGTGCCCACGTTGGCCTAAATGTTAAAACAGCCGCTCGAAATGTGATCTCGTTACTCGCGGTTAGGGAATTCCAGCACGGATTCCAATCTGGCGGGGAGGAGATTTAAACACGATTCTGCTGCTCGGCGGCTCGAAGATAATAGAATTTAAGGCAATAGCGTCTGGTTGATAATCAGGTTTAGCTTCCCTTGCCCTAATATAGGGCAATAGTTTCAATATTCAATATATAGTAGTCCCTGTATCCAACACCTTTTAAGATGTGTTGACTTCAACTCCCAGAACACCCCAGCCAGCATGGCAGTTGAAGTCCACACGTCTTAAAATGCCAACGGTGGGGAAACACTGCTTGAGAAACAGTGGATCTGAAATGCACAAAGAACTTTACCAAAAGTTTCTGCCGGATTTTGATGTGCGTATATTTGGGGCGGTCATTCTGTGCTACCTATAAGTAGTGCGGTGGCCTAGCAGTCGAGCTCCGGCCCTCTGGAACGATCTCCCCGTGGAGATTCGGACCCTCCCTACCCTTCAGGCTTTCCGTAAAGCCATTAAGACCTGGCTGTTCCGGCAGGCCTGGGGCTACTGAGTCCCATCCCCACTCGAATTGGTGTGTTTGTCGAGACTTTTTAAACTGGTTCTGTATTGTTGTCTGTCTTTGTTCTTCCTTTTGTATCGTTCCCTTCCCTTCCGGTTTTGTTAGCCGCCCTGAGTCCCTTCGGGAATAGGGCGGCATACAAGTTGAATAAAACCTCAAACCACAATCAGGAGGCTGTGATTTCGATCCTAGGTAGAGGCGGATATTTCTCTCTCTGGGCACAATGAGAAATCTATCTGCTGGGGAAAAAAACTCTGCTCTGGTGACAGGAAGGGCATCTGGCCAGTAAATACTCAGCTCCATTCAGTTGCCCAAGACTCCACCCCACAAGGGATTAGGGGGCCTTTAAAAGAAGATGATGATTCTGTGCTACCTACGGTCCAGTAGTGGGTTCCTACCGGTTTGGACCAGTTCGGCCAAAGCAGTAGTGGTTTGGCAGCCTAGGTCACTGGAACCGGCAGCGACCCAGGCCTGCCACACCCCCAAACTGGTTCTCCTGGCGGCATTGTAGTTGCCGTCATCTTGTTTTTCGCTTCTGCGGATAGCAATTTTTATTGTGTTGTGCATGCTCGCGCAGCGTGTCCACGAGCGAACCAGTAGTAGTGCCGGAACCCACCCCTGCTACGGTCACTGCCATATGGTACTTGGTAGCTTAAATATGTCACAGGGTGTAACAGATGCTGAAAAATGGACTTAAATGAGTAGGAAAAAGAAATGTTTGCCTGCACAATCAAAAATACCCCTAAAAAAAAAATCCAATTTCAAGGCCATTTTTAATGTGGTGGCTATCTCAGCCCAACGGTGCTTTTCATTCCATACAATTCTTTAATGTTAATGTTTTTTTTTTTTCATTTTAATGAAAACACCTGTCAAAATCCAATTTTAGATATCCCCCCTCCCCCATGCCTAATCTTTGAAAATTCTATAAATCAAAGATCTCAGGAATATTTCACTGAAGGAGGAGAGGAAACAAGTTAATACTTACTCTGATTTGGTTCTTTAGTTGTTCAGCCTCCTGGCGTAACTGATCGAGTTCACTCATCTTCCCGCACTAATGGTGTGCAGCTTTTGTCACTCCTTAAAAGCTTAAAAACCTGCAAAATAGATAAAAGGAGAGAGTGTGACTCAGCTAATCTTTTGGTCATCTAATAGGGAATGAAATATTTATACCGACATTCATCCTAAAATCTTGGGCTAAGTACAAGCAGTTCTCGACTTACGTCCACAACTGAGCCCAAAGTTTATGCCGCTGAAGTGAGACATCTGTTAAGTGAGTTTTGCCCCATTTTTATGACTTTTCTGGCCTCAGCTGTTAAGGGAATCACTGCAGTTGTTAAGTTAGTGACACGGCTGTTAAGCAAATCTGGCTTCCCCATTGATTCTGCATGTCAGAAGGTCGCAAAAGGGGGCCACGTGACCCAGGGACGCTGCAACCGTCGTAAATATGAGTCGGTCGCCAAGTGTCTGAATTTTGAACACCTGACCCGCAGGGATGTTGCAACAGCCGTGTGAAAAATGGCCATGAGTCCTTTTTTTTCAGTCCTGTTGTAATTTTGAACTGCCACTAAATGATCTGTTGTAAGTCGAGGACTACTGGTAACACTGAATTACACGACATTTGTAAACTATGCACTCTTCTCTATTATTATTTTTCAAAGACTGCAAAGGGGAAAACAAAGTAATAGAAATACTACTTCCCATTATTGATTTTAGATATATTACTGTTTGGGGTTTTTTTTTGCACTCGCTCTTGAATTTTCCTTTGAGAGATAGAACAGAAGGCAAAACAGAACAGAACAGAATAAGAACAGGAACAGAACAGAATAGAATTCTTTATTGGCCGTGTGACAAGGAATTTGTCTCTGGGGCATACCTTGTGTGTCCAATCACACTTGACCAATAAAGAATTCTATTCTGTTCTATTCCTGTTCTATTCAAGAGTGAATCTAAAGGGAAAAAATATATATACTCTATAAGTATAATTCAATTCTCTTATCTCAATGAACCACTTTTAGATTTGCCCCCTTTCAGGTTTATCCTTTTTATCCCCTCCCCCAAGAAAATAGGATCACTGCATATATAAAACATCCTGTCTTTCAAAAAACAGCAGCCTGTGGAAGCCATCCCAGTTGGCTGGATTTATTCCAGCTGTTTTCCCCAGCTCCAGCACAACCTCTCCAACGAGACTGGGAAAAACTCGTACAAACGCCTATAAAATGCGGCAGGACTTTTGGATGGCAAAAATCCCAATCTTTTCGTCTTCCCAGACCCTCAAACTCCCAAGGATCCTTCTGGGCTTCCAGAGCTGTTAAATGTTGTTTTAATTTCACCCTCCAATTTCTTCCCTTGCACTCCAGAGTCAGATCGCTGAAGCTGATCCGACACTGGCAAACAGATAATATTTCCAAAATTACAATTTATTCTCCCGCGCGTTAGCGTTCAGACAAGGTTTTGTAAGGAGTTCGCCACCATCCAGGTCCTCCATTGATCAGCTACATGATAGAATATAATCTTGGGGGGGACGGGGGGACTGCCCATGGCCAAATCCTCCTTTAACCACATAAGCTCAAAAGGTCACACTTTGTGGCAATCTCTCTTTCTCTCAGACACCCCCAACATTGTGGTTCGAGGTGAAAAAAAGGGGGGAGGGGAAGCATTCTGAATCAAGTTCTAAATCCGTGATGGCGAACCTACTGCATGCATGCCACAGCCCAGCTGCAATGTGCATGCACGCCTCCCGCCAGCCAGCTGGTCTTTGCATTTCTGCTACACATTGGGGGGGGGCTGTGGGGATGCGCGCACGCATGCACGCTCGCATTGCATTTTGGGGCCTCATGCAGCGCCCCTGCACCCCGATTTAGGTCTGGAAAGCCTGCACCAACCTAGAAGATAAAACAGGGCGCGTGGATGCCACACAAGCACTCCCCACCCGCGTGCCCTGTTTTCAGCCTAGAAAGCCTCCTGCACCAACCTGGAAGCCAAAAATGGATGAGAGTGGGGCAGGACGCATGCGCTGGGGGAGGGGGGAAGCTCACACGTGCATGTGTGGGGGCGGGGCACACATGGGGGGTTATGCATGCATGCGTGGGGGGGTCGCAATGGCATTGCATTCTGGGTGTGGCCACGGGCGCTGGCTGTTGTAAACATGCGCGTGCTTTCAACCTTTTTGGTTAGCCACCACTGCCCTGAGTGATCAATAATTTAAAATAATTTTACAAGAGCTACCTCAGTCTGAACCGGCAGCGACGGCTACACCCAGAAGCATCTCCGAAATTCTGGATTGCCGGATCATGGCTAATGCTTCATAATCTCCCGGCTCGAGTTAGCCATTGGTGCAAATCCAATTAAGATGATGCCTGGATGATCTTAAGTCTAGCCTCTCTGTATCCCGGGGGCTGTTTCGAGAAGCTAACCCCAGGGAGAAAGGACCATAGGGCGGAGTTGCGGGGCAGGTCTTCCTGTCTTGACATAATGCAAAATAGTTAAAGAGTCTATGAAGATTCTTGTTCATCCCGGTCACAATTGTCTCAAAGATGCCTTTTTCAAATCATGTCTCCCCTGGTCCTTCTCTTCCCTAGACCAGCCATGCCCAGTTCTTGCAACTGTTCTTTGTGTGTTTCAGCCTCCAGTCCCCTCATCATCCAGGTTGCTCTCCTCTCCACTTTTTCTAAAGTTTCAACATCTTTTTTTTAAATACCAAAACTGGATGCAATATTCCAAGGGTGGCCTTACCAGGGCGTGACAAATCTAATGAATGGATGAACGCTTTGCTCACAATTTCAAATAGTCAAAAGATCTAGTAGAAAGAATATTTAGATGCACATTCATGATTCAGCCACATGGCCTGACCAAATTATTTGGTCTTCCTCTTTTGGACAGAAAGGCATTTTTTAATAGCCATAACGGTTAAACGGGAGGGGGGGACAAACTCTAATTGCCGTTTCAACGGTCACTTGCAACAAACCAAACTAAGAATCAAGTCAGCCTGGAAAATATTTTCTCGGTTGTATTTTACCCAGCAAGCTTTTTTTTCAATGGTGCTATTGTACCCCATAATTTAACTCATATTTTTTTTAAAAAATTGCTTCTTAGCCCAACGATGCTACAATCAGAAAAAGACCGAGAAAGGATTTGAGTTATAATCAAAGGATGCTTACCCAGTATCTTTGAAGCAGGGAACTAATTGAAGAAAGTGGGGCTAATTTACTTAAACTCACCTAGTTAAACTGCTGTTATGACACTGAATTTAAATCCTAATTATTCGTAGATGACTGTGCTGTGCTAATATTCACAGCAATAGTTTTATCTTAAAACCCCACAAAAGCCGCCAAAACAGATTTCCCTGAGAAATGAAATTAAAACAAGCGCTGTTTGCAACCACTATTATTAACAAGGTAAAGCTTAACAAGGGTTGGTGGTTGCAACTTTGGTGGGTGGTGGTGGTGGTCTGCGCCAGCCCACCTGTACCAATTGTTGATGCCGTTAAATACCATGCTACATTTTGAATTAACAAAAGGACTGGGGCTTTGATTAATTATCTGTATGCTCCAAACCGTAACACTGAGGTTTTTGCTGCCAAAAAGAAAAAGGGGGGGGGGGTTGCTCTCATGATTTCCCCAGATCAATTCCCAGGCACCTGAGTGTAGGACAAGAAGCAATGGGTGGAAACTAATCAAGGAGAGAAGCCACTTAGAACTGAGGAGGAATTTCCTGACAATTAGAACAATTAATCAGTGGAACAGAAGTTGCCTCCAGAAGTTGTGAATGCTCCAACACTGGAAGTTTTTAAGAAGATGTTGGATAGCCATTTGTCTGAAGTGGTGTAGGGTTTCCTGCCTAGGCAGGGGGTTGGACTAGAAGACCTCCAAGGCCCCTTCCAATTCTGCTATTGTAGTGTATTGTATTGCATTGCATTGCATTCAATTCTACTCTACTCTACTCTACTCTACTCTACTCTTCTCTATTCTTTTTACTCTACTCTACTCTACTCTTCTCTATTCATTCTATTCTTCTCTATTCTATTGTACTCTACTCTACTCTATTTATTCTATTCTTCTCTATTCTATTGTACTCTACTCTACTCTATTTATTCTATTCTATTCTACTCTACTCTACTCTATATTCTATTTATT